CCATTCAAGGTGTTGCCAGCAGTGTAGGACTATCATATAAAATACACAGAACACCTGTATTTTTACATCAGAATAATTTCACTTCTGTCTCCCAGTGTGAAGAGAGTATTGTTTTATGTATAGCTCACTGGTAATAGTAAATCCAAATTGCTTTCTTCTCCTTTCAGAACTACAACCTTTCCCCAGCTGATTATTGTGCACTGGATTATTCCTGTGTAAGCACAGGACCTTGCACTTGTTGCACCTCCCTGACCTTACTGCATACAGCTTCACACCATTTCCACAATTTGTCCTGAATTCCAGCTCTCTCTGCCACAGTTGCTTTGCTGAGTCTACAGATCTCATCAGAATACTCAGTATTGACCAGGATGATGAAATGCAAAATTGCATGAGCCCTAGGACAGATCTTAGAGGAATCCAAACTCCACACATCTTTTGTGGTTGATGACCACACATGGACAATTACTCAGTCTAAATATCCAACCAGTATTGCATCCCTCTTTATTTTTTATCAAGTTCACACTTCCTCAGCTCGCTCACATACCTGTGGGAAGAGTCAATGTCAAAAGTCTCACTAATACCAAGATAACTGACATTCACTGCTTCCCATTGTGTCTGTTACTTTATTACAATTAGTTTGTTACTATTTATTATTGATAAATCCATGCTGGAATGTCCATTATACCCTAGATGCCTTCTAGATGGTTTGTTTTTCCTAGCAGTTTGTTAAGACCTGAAGTCTGATTGACTAATTAGAAACCTCAAGTTTTTGCATGGTAGGGATTTGATTTTTATTGTTTCTTTGGGTCTTTTATTTTTTTATTATTTTTTTTTAAAGTTGAGGGTTAAGAACAGCATTGGCATTTTCCACCCTCCTGTAACCCTACCTGACCCCCGCTGCTCAGGCTGACCTGTTCTGGGGTAAATGTTACGAAGCTCAGCCAACCTGCAGACTTCTTATTCACAGACATCATCTTAATACTTCTAAAGCTAGTTTCACTAGCTAGTTGCCCACTACAATTCATGCATTATGGAGAGCATATAACCATGACATATGCTATACCATTGTCTTTAGCCTCTATGCACGACAAATTTCTCCAGACAATTTCTCCAAACCTGTAACTTACAGAACCAGCTGTTTTCTTTCAGGTCAAGAAACACAGAAGCAGCAAGAACTCCTACATATAACACATTTGTTTCCATGCTATATCAATCTATTGTCCTCACAACGTGTATCAGGCAGGACCTTGAAAACCTCTTGAAAACCTCTCTAATTTTACCTTAGAGAGAAAAATAATGCAAATTTTCATTTCAGGAAAGCACAAACCATGGCCTCTCTATACTGATGTAGCATTGCAATACTCTAGTACCTAAAGAGTTAATAATTCAAACAAGCCCTGGATAAGCTTTTTTTAGGAAGAGCATTTCTTCCTCTTTGTTTGAATTGAAGTAGAAATTGGTTCTGCCATGAGATATTTCCAGTATACCCACAAACCAGGACAAGCTAAGGTCATTGAATTGTGCAAAGTTTCATTTTCAAGGTTTGCAGGTTTGATTTTTTTTAAAGTAAAAATAGCAGAGTTGTGGTCATGGTCAAACATTGATAAAATTAGGAACAGATAAAGCCACAAATAACATTTTTTGAGACTCGCAAGCTTGGTTTTTTGAAGGAGTGGAAGTAGTGCCTTTTAATCAAAAGCACAAAGCATCAAGTGTTTGTTACAGTGAACAGAGAAGCTGAGGCTCAAAGAGGTCTGAAATTCAATGCAGAAGACTGCTTTTCTAAAGCATAACTAAAATGCAGGAGAGATGGAAACAAATGAACACAACATTAATTTAAACCCTAGAAGTGTTTGTTACAAAAATACATCACTTGCAATGAGACATGCTTTGTAACTGCAATACACAATAATATCTGAGACAGCAGTAGCTGCTAGATGAGTCTTCAACTCAGGCATCAACATCTGAAAATGTCCAGGCTCAACAGGAGTATAATTACACCTTACTCTCCCTCAGCTTCAACCAGACCCAGCAAAGCACATTTATGATAACCAAAAAGTTGGCTTGTTATTCAAGAGATAAGAATTTAGCTCTTAGCATAGCTTTCAAAGTAAACAATCTTTTGACATGTGAAAGTGCTTGGAGCCTATCCAGAAAGTTCCTGCCAATTTTAGGGTTTTTTTCTTGCTTTTTGTTCAGAGCAGATTCATAAGCATTGCTTAAGTTGTTTCAGTTCATCAAATGTTTTTAAGGCTATTTTTGAGTATTAAAGAGACTGCTAATTTTTATTTTAAACAACTGAAGAGGACAGCATTAAGGTACATATACCAGAGTCAAGCAACACTTATCATTTTAGTATTTGACTAATGCTTTAAGTGGCACAATCTGAAGAACCTGACTAAAAAGAAACCTTTCATCATGTAAAACAATGCTGATGTGCCACAGCCTGCCTAATGCCCAACTGACTTCAGAAGAACCACCCCTTCAAATTCTTCAGCTTTAAACTTTTAACAGCTGATCAGAGGAGTGATGTAAAAGACCAAGGAAAAAAGATGAAGGTAGAAGCTCACTTAGCTCTGCAGAGTGGCCATGTTAGACTGAGGGAAAACCCACCAGGAAGAACAAAAGTAATACTGCTGAGTACTGGGTGCCTGACCACCCAGGGGTGATGCAAGGGAGAATATGGGAATTGCTCTGAAAACTGCCAGACTGATAGGGGGAAGCTCACATGAGCAAAGCAAAGCACAGCAGGACATGTCAGAAGCTTAAGTAAATAGAAAATTACTGCATCCAGCTATGGTCAACTGGTATTGCCCTGAGGTCAAAATGAAATGTGATAGAGTCTGTTCCATTACAAGTCTTCCTTTTAAATGCATCATCTTGTCAGGATAAGCCAGACATCTATGATTAGCCAGAAGATTCTAGCCTGAGAAAGTTCTTATTCAAAAGAGACAAGTGATAAACAAATTTGTACTAAAATAAAACTAGAGCTTCATCACTTCCTGCAACAGCACATGGTTTGCTCTGATACAGGACAAGGAATGGTTGGCAATACTTGGTAACAGCACACAGCTGCTTGCTGAAGGGGATGATGCTGTATGAAAAAAAAGTTAAAATGCAACTCCACTGTGATATTTTAAAGGGCTTCTGGAGGTCTCTTGCCCAGCCTTCTATTTGAAGTGGAGCCATTACCACTGCTAAATCAGGGCCACTGTAGCTTTGTTGAGCCAAGTCTCAAACCTTTTCAGGAACTGAGATCCAGTACCTTGCTTACAAACTGTTCCATGTAATTTGCTACCCACCTTGTGAGCAGGTTTTCCCTGAAGCCTTTCCAGAACCTTCCATATTACAACCGAGAGCTGTAGCCCCTTGTTCCATGATCTAGGGCTTAACTTCACAATTGTGTAACCACACCACCAACAGCTGTAGGCTCCCATTAGATCAACCTGTACCTTCCCTTTACAGTGTAAACCAGCCCTGCTCCCTGCAGCTCTCCTCTTAGCTCATGTGCTTTAGGACCCCAAAAACCCTAGGATTCTCTCCAGTTTTTCAGAATTTCTTAAACCAGGAGAACCAAAACAGGACACAGTATTTTAAGTGAGGCCGCCCCAGTGCCATGCCAAAGAGGTATTAACTTCCCTCAAGCTGCTGTTTGTGGTCTCCCTAAGGTAACCTAGCATGAGGTTTGTCTATCGCATGATAAGCATAGCATTGGCTCATACTCAATTTCATAACCAAAGAAAGTAAATTTATGATTCATAGTTTTTTTTTTAATAATGTCAATTGAGAGCTAAAGACCCAGAGGCTAAAATACACTAACATATATTTGAGCAGCCCCTTGAAAGAGTTGTGGTGGATAGAGTCAAAACCAGCATGGGTACACAGAGGATATTGCTGGAAGGCCCTTAGAAGTTTACATCAGACTAACATGCATCGGCATAACTGCTCTTTCCAGTCTGAAAACAATTCATTTGCTTTGAGGTCAGAAAGATGAAACTGCCTTACTGCAAAAAAACCCAACAAAACAAACAAGGAAAGTATCTGTCCAGAGTGCCAGCTTAGTCACCAAGAGGTTTGTCCTAAAGTGCCCTTCCAAATCCTGTTTCACTTTGCAGACCTCCTCTCAAGGAGTAGATGGCTACACAGCAAAAGTTACAAAAAATATGCTTGTGTCATTTTAAACTGCAACAAGGGACACTCAAATGAAAATAAGCAATAGTCTGTCCTGATGTTGGTCTCCATCAGGCAATATTTAGGAAAAAAAACCCTGTGAGAGTTGGCACTGCCTCAGAGTTTTGTCACAGAGGTTGGCAGAACAATCCTGTTTTCATTCAGGCCTTTACCCTTTATGAATCAACCAGCTGACTGAAAATCAGAATAGAATCAGAAGTTACTGAGCAATTTATTAACTAGTAGAGCAACTAACAATTGTTACAAATTCAATAATCATTGATTTAGAAGGTACTTTACCTGTAAAGGATCTCAAAATAGGTTATAAAAAAGTTCTTCAAATATTTTCATTCAGATCTTGTGATGCTGGAGAGTACCATTCAAGTATGCTATGCACTCAACAATTCCACAGAGTCTCTCACGTGCTTACACTAAACTAATATTCAATCCACTGGTATAAATGAAACCCCAAAAGAGTGGGCACCCCAGTTCTCAGTTTTCTGGAAAGTCTCCATCTGCATTAACAGTTAATTCCTTAGCCTTCCCAGTCTTGGCATCCCTTAGGATTTTTACGTTTTCTCATCTCAGCAACTCCTTGTTTACATACATTGCTGCTGCTCAACTGCAGAGACCATGGGAAGGTATTTGTTTGCAGTTGGGTTTTGTCCCCAACAAGCTGGGCTGATGGAAGGAACACACTCTTTTGGGTTCCCACACAAAGATAATTCCCAAGACCTGACTGTGTGCCAGTGAGACAAGTGTCACACAGAGTAACAGATGTTACCCTTCAGAAGAAAAGCAGGAAAAAGGGAGGCTGTGTATTCCAGTACCTGACTGGAAGACGTATCTGGCTAAGCCTTGCATTAGCTCTGCTGGCCAAGTAGGTGGTGCTGACTCCCCCGTTTCTCTCTTTAGTCGAAATGTCAACTCAAATCCAAAACCACTTGGTCCATCTGTTCCAGTAAACCTGGAAGGAATAAAAAATCACAAGTCACAACATACTTCTTGCAACCATAGCAGACTTCAACATTAGGATTATAGAAAAAATGATGAGCATTCTCCTCACAGAAAATATAAGTTTAGAAATTCTCTTATTTCAGTCTACCATAGCTCAAATGGCATTAACACTGCTAGGTTAGCTGATGTAATACAATTTCCAACATAAGTATCATAGTAGTGTTCTCAGTCAGAATAAGGCAGTCTTGGAACCACAACATTCTTCCTGGAACTTGTGGGATTTTCAGCACTGGTACAATAAAAACTCTTCAAGCAACAGGTCAAATAATTACATTTGGTCCTTAAACAAAAGAAGAGCTTACTGAATAACCAGCCAGAGAGCAGAATCTGGATGTGCAGCAAAACCTCTGTTCTGCCATCATGCATGCAGGTCCACCAAAAAGGTTGGTACAGGATGGCAACAGCCTCACAAACACAAAGTTGTACTTTGTACATTCAGCATCCCTGTAGTGCCTTATTAGTTTCATATATCAGCTAGCAAAGGAAAACCAGAAATATTTCTTAAAGAGAGAAACAAAAACACTTCAAAGTGGGTAGTTTTCAAGGATTGATTCCAGGAAAAAGCATACACCAGAAACTGAAATACATTACGAATGGGCCAATTTTAAGAAGGATCAAAGTTAACAAAAAGCCTTCAAGCTGATCTTTCACAGTTAAAATTTTTGGAAAGTAAGATGGCTCCTATTGAATTTCCTCATTTCAAGGCTTGTTCCGAAATGACACAATGTTACCTCTAATATGTATCAAGTTAGAGCTTAGTAAGGTTTTTCTGAATTCCACAGAGCTCTCTGCTTCCCAGAAATAATTGAGAAGACCATACATGCTTTATAGCGATCCATGTGCACACAGAAGTGTTCAGGTGAGTACCCATCAAATTTAAAGAAAGATGAGCATTTAGCAGAACACAGATGGTCAGCAACACATCAGTAGTTGCAAGGCAGTAAAATTGACAGGCAATGTTGCTCAAGTGAGTTTTTTATATATAGTAATGAAAGATTCTAAACTAGAGAACTACTAGAAAATAAATTAACTAAAATATAAGTAAACGAGAAGTATTCCCTTCTAAGATTTAACAAAATCCCTGAAAAAAACATTTATCTTCTAAAAAAATACTCAAAGGCAATAGCATACAACTATAATTCTCTTATAATTCTCAAATTAACAATTACATTTTAGAAAAATCCTATTTACATGTAAGAGATGTGTACTTAAAAGATTAGATTTACCATGTTTTTGAATATTTAATGGTCACAGGTTGCTGAAAATACACTGCTCTGTTACAGTGAAATTTGAAATATGTGCAATTCACCTCTATTTTGCAGCTGTTTCGAGGTAACAGTCTATGAAGTAAAAGTCTTTGATCTGTTTAATTTCAGGTTGGTAATTTGTTTTTGAAGAAATTGTCACACATGTGCTTTAAAAGCTTGCAATTAAAAAAAAATCCTTTACATTTAATTCAGACAAGTCTTTCACTGGAAGGAATATTAATATTCAGAATTTAATTAGGATAAGTAATTTTCAGTTAGCATTTTTGCCAAAGCTTTTACTTTCATTCTTCAAAAACGTATTTGAAAGTAAGCTGAAAGTAGTTTCAACAGCTGCCATAAAATTTCTCTCCATGCACAACAGACCATAATCCAGGACCCAAGCTCCTGGCCAAGGTTTGGAAGATGTACATGAGAATGGAGGCAGATGTGAGTGTCAGGAACTAAATAAACCTATTAGTACTCTGCCATGTCTCTGACCCTTGGTGTAACAAAAATCACAGAGAATAACCCAGTGGCAGAATTAGGCAACTTGGCTTCTCTTATGGAAGTCCTTTTCACTAGGGAGCAAGCGCTTGCTTACACCAGGCCCAACTCCAGAATTTTTGAGGATTAAGGAAGGATACACCAGTTTGCTGGTGGAGAGGCAAATAGGAGCCACAGCCAACAAATGTAAGGGAAATTAATTTACCCAGCAAGAAGCCCAAGATCTCCAGATATATGTACCATACGAATCAAAGACCAAGCAAATGGCTTTTTATCCCCCACAAGGATAGAGACTCATGCCTCCTATATGGGCTGTAAGCAGCTGCTCATTCCCCCAAACCCCTTGTGTCCATTTTTGTTCAAGGCCATACCAACAAGATAAAAGATGCACCTATCATAACCAAGAAATTAATTCATGATGGGGGAACGAAAAAAGTCAGATTTCCCATAAGGAAGTGAATTTGTTCCATTAATGTTCCATTACTTCCATATGGAAAACTGGAATTCCACAGCAGCTTCCTCCTAGTAGGGTACATCCCCACTGCTTGGGGTTATCTTAGGAGGCTGCTGAGGAGGCTTATAGATGTTCAAACTCACTCTCCTTCCCACAAGTTCTCAAATTTCAACAAACTTCCAGAAAAGTCAACCACCTTCAGACAGCCATAGTCAACCAAACAGCTAAAAAAAATAATTAAAAAATAATTTTTAAACCCCCACAGTTTTGAACAAGCCTCATGTCCACAGAAAACTGGGTGGATGGGTGAGGATAATCCATAAATGGAAGAAGTCCTGCTAAAGCACACAGAAGTCAGGTTTGCTTGCGATCTCTTCCATCAACCCACCAGGTTCCCTCAGTGCTACCTGCAAGCCACCAGGTTCCCTCAGTGCTACCTGCACCTGTACTAACTTGTTCCATTCCAAGCAGGCAGCCAAGCACCTGTAGCAGGTTAGCTTGACCCTAACTCCTGTGTCAACTGGGCAGGTAACATTTTTTACTACACACTTTTTGTTCTGCAGAAGCAAGATTCTAGCACTACATGGGGTTGGCTTCTTTGTGAATAAGGGAGTGCTGCGTTTGAGAGTGGTTTTATTTGGTTGGAACAGAGGCTTTGGAACTCAGTTCAGCATCTCAGCACTGAAGTGCCTTGCAGGTCATTTCTTCAGCAAAACAATACAATTCAGTGGTCCAAAAAGTGCTGCAGCTTTACAGTAAGACATTCTCTGACAAGATGCATGTGTGGGAAGGAAACTTCAAAAAGAATATTTTGTATCTGTGCATGGCCCCAGGTAAATAAACCGAAAGCTGCAACACAGCATTGTTTCCATACTAACATATCTGGGTATTTCACATATTTTGGTTTATGCCTTAGTTCTGCTAACACTGCACTTTTGAGTGCAAGTTTCTCTTAAATACCTCCAAAATGCTACAGAGGAAGAAAAATAAATGTTTTAAAATCCTTATTTTCCCCAAACACTGTAAAGAAGCTACAAAGAGACAGCATGGATTGTATTGTGCCTGCCACTGCTTTGCCCCCCTAACACAAGGGCACATCACATTTACAGCCAACCCAAAGGAGAATCAACCAGTTAAGTTTTCACAAAAAAATAAACATTGATGGAGAAATTCTTGGCTTGCTGCATGCCCACTGGCACACATCAGATAGTTTTATATTATGACTACAGCAGTAATGGAAGGCTCTGGTATCTGCCAAGTCAAATTCAACCCTGTATTTATTATTAAAACCTTATTTTGTCACATGAATAAAAATAAACTTTTTGAAAGCCAAGGTCATATATTACACGCCATTCTTTGGGTTAAATCTCTCTTTATCTCTTCAGCAAATCAGCGCAGAACAGACCACATTGCAGCACTGCACATATGCTGAAGAAGCCTGGCTTGTTCCTTTAATGAGGTAAGAGTTTCACTGATCATGATATTTAGTTCCAGCAAAAGAATCCAAAGAAATAGAGGCCTCTTTATTTACAGGGCAGGGCCCCGCAAGCCCCCCACCAACCCATGCTCTGCCAGGCCCTCTCCTGAAGCCACACACAGAGAACTGAAAAGCTGCTCCCCTCTGCAGCAGAGTATCCAGGGCGTTTTTCACATCAAATAACCCAGCTTAAGAGGATCAAAAGCCAAACTAGCTCTTTGCTTTAAAAGCAGCTCTGAAAACTAGAGGCTTTTCAGTTTAAATCAAAGCTATTTGCCAAAGCAGTTTTGTTGTTGCTTTTGCAAGGAACAAGAGAAGGTTGCTTCACTGCCATGCAAAATGGCAGCATTTCTGAAATTCTGCTTTTTAAAACTACACGGTGCTGGACAAGGAGCAGAGTGTACTAGGTGTTTATTTTTTAGAGTTTAAGAGTATGTGTATATAAATACATCAGGTGAACCAATCCCTGAAAACAGGAGCTTACACAAGGAAATGCTAGCCCTTCACTATGATTATTTCAGGCAGGGAACAACAATAAAGCTCTTTCAGGACATTTGGGAATAGTCAGTTACCCCAGCAAAAGATGTCCACATGAGGGCAGTTTACTTTTTATTTTGTTTTATGGTGCATAGATGTACCTACACAAGTAGGTGACAGTTTGATCTCCTATTACAGTAATAAACTGACCAGACCAAACAATTTGATCTTCACAATTCCCCAAACACATATCTATGTGAAATTAAGTGACTAGAGGACTGGTGTGCTTTCCACCTTGAGGGTTCACACATTTCTCCACGAAGGCACCAGGCTTCCCACCTCACAGCCAGCAGAACCCATCCCAACGCAGCTCAGGTGTCCCTGAGAGCAGGTTCTCAGCTGCCCTGCAAGCACAGCTAGCACAGCAATGGAAGGCTGCAGTCCTGGGCACTGCAAGGCAAGTGCAAACAGCCTCATGGCAACAGCTCAGGGAAGTTGCCACAGAGTTGCATCACCTTAATGCCCACTGAAAGGATCTGGAAAGAATAGCTATGAGTACAATGAGGATTTACTATTGCATTCACACAATAAGGGGCAGGAAACTAGGACATTTTGCAATCTGTACTTTAACATTTTAGTTAAGCTATTTATGCTGCACTTCAGAGCTACGTATCCTCATTTCTACAAGGTCTGGCAGAACAGGGCTCTCACTTGGCCTGAGCTGGAGGTGATTCTGCAAACACAGCATGGAGTCACTGTGTTATACAGTGCACTGGGGAAGGCAACCTTTC